AATGGATGTCTAATGAGTGGCCTCTTTTATGACAACCCTGGTGGTGTCAAAGGTAAAGCCAAATATAGACTTTAGTATCTTTTTCCTTTGTTTGTATTTATTTTGTGTTTTTCTTTTTGCTTTCTGCCGTTGCTTTCCTGTTTTGTGTCTCGTAATATGTTCTGACCACTGTTAGCTCAGGCAGTAAATGGAGCTGTCTGCAACCTGCCAGTCCACTCGTCCCTTTAATAACAGACCTGGCAACCACTTTAAGTGAATGATGGATTATTCCCTATTAACCATTTCACCCCCTGTCTTTTGCCTTTGCCATTACTGCTGAGCTCTGATGGGCGGTTTGACAGATAGGCTACAATTATCATTATAAACAAATGGAAATCTAGGTTTATAAAATCAACTGCCTCCATCTTGGATAATATTTCAGAAGAGAAAAATTATAGAAAAAAGGTAAATGTCGAGGTAGCCAAAGACAACAAGAGATGTATCTGTACAAATGTTGTTACCATATTTGGCAAAAATAATTGTCAGCACATAATCCAGATTCACGTGTTGTTTTGATTTGACAAATATTACATCATATACATATAAATTACAACAAATAAAACGTATCATTTGTTAATTAGTAAGCTTTAGAGGTCCAGTTAAGAACACTTTTGGACGGAGCCTGGCTAGCTGTTTACACTTATTTCCAGTATTTGTGCTAAGCTAACCAGCTATATGATTTGTCTATGACATGAGATATCAATGAAGTAAAGTGATGGGCGGGTTGACATATAGGCTACACATGTTATAATATGTGTGACATCAGAAAAAAATCTATCTAGGTTTTATAAATTGAACTGCCTCCATCTTGGATATTTGAATGAAGGAAAAAAATGCCTTACAATCTAAAATACATGTTTCATGTAAAATGTTAGCATATTTGTAAAGAAAATTGGTCCCGAACGAACCCCAATTCACGGTCCATTTGGATTTGACAAATATAACATCAAATACATATTAAATACAACAAATATAACATAAAGTATGTTAATTAATAAGCTTTAGAGGTCCAGTTAGGAATACATTTGGACGGTGCCAGGCTAGCTGTTTACATTTATTTCCACCCTATATGCTAAGCTAACCAGCTGTTGGTTGTAGCTTTATCGTACAGATATGAAAGTGGTACGGATGTTAAAATCTAGTGAGCAAAATAAACGTGTTAATTAAAATGTAAAAGTATTCCTCTTGTGTATGGAACATTTCTTAAGAGTCTAGTTCTACCTTGGCAAAATAAACAATAAACAGTTATGTAATAGTTGATATTATTTAAGATTATGAAAATTGTATTTTCCCTTTTTACAACATTTAAAGCACCTCATTGTGGTATCTATAATGTCAACCATATGTATTGCTTTTGGTTGCTTTTTCAATATCTGGAGTGTGGATTAGGGACAAAAACAGGTCAGGACTGGGAAATGATTGTTTGTTTAACATGACCAGTTAAGCCAAAATTAATTTACAGGGTTAACCAAATAAAATAGGATTCTTCTGAAAGCGTGGACAGTTGTGTCATCAATCTAGGGGAGCTGCTAGAGCTTCCACATACAAGGACTGTTCCTGGGAAGGTGTGTGAATATGTTGAAGTGTATATGAATATGGAGCAGGTCAAGTGCTTAGTCAAGCCCCATGCATAAATAAGGATTATAAGATGCAGGGGTCGTCCTGTACCCTGTCGGTTGGAGTGTTTCCTCTCCTGGTGATGTTTCATCAGCTCTGTGATACCCTGCTCTCTATGCTAAAGCAGGATGGTGTCATCAACAAAGAGCTCTAGGGGGAATTTGAGAAAGACATTGGTTACACATAAGAAACACATCTTTATACAACACCAACATTGATATAGAGGATAGAAGTAAAATCACTGCAAACTTAATCCAAATTCTTGCAGGTTGACTACCTACTACCTACCTTGCCTGAGAATCTTTGCAGCAATATTAATTCAATTTGCAAGATCTTACCTTTTTTAACAATATAACTAGGAAAATTATGTATTTCCAGTTGCTTACAGTGTTTGCTTGCATTCACAGCCGTCATGCAAAGTAATTTCTCACCTCAGGGACCATGTCTGTCCGACTGGGACATTTTCCAGGATGATGTTTTGTAATCTGATCCTGGTTTTATTGAACTACCAAAAATGGAATCCTGGCATTGTTTTAGCAATCCACATCAACATACGTAGAAGTGTAGTGTCATGTTTTTCATTCTTTTCTCATCTTTTTACTTTAATTTCCATAAAAGAATATGACTTCAATTGAAAAAGTAATATCGATGTCTAGTGTTTTTGGTTTTCATTTGAGTGCATTTAATCAAGTGTGAATCTTAGCCCTTATCAAATGCATTTATATGTAGCTTTCAGCAATATTTTTATTTAAGAGTTTACAGGGAACATATAATGTCCATTTTCAGGTAAATATTTGTATTTTCTTCAAAAAAGCCCTGTCTATTGGCTTACGAGAAAAATATGGCCTACCTTGGCAGCCAACATAAAACAATGGATTTGTTAAGAGAACACATCCAAATAGGAAACTGGGTATTGCATCAAAACCCAGGGCAGAAGGTACTAATATATCCTGCTCAATGATCACGTCCCTCATTTCATCTGTTCCCCAAATCCACTGAAGCTGCCCTCAGCTCCACTGGCCCTTTTCAAAAGAAAGTGGTTGTAAGATTGAGGACATAGAAACACACACACACACACACACACACACACACACACACACACACACACACACACACACACACACACACACACACACACACACACACACACACACACACACACACACACACACACTGTACATGCTCTGCACTCGTCCCTGTGAAGAGTGGGCTACTTGAGGCAGGTAATCAAGCAGGGATTAGGTGGTCGGTGGCTCAGACATCCTTAGTTAATGCTGATCACACACACACACACACACACACACACACACACACACACACACACACACACACACACACACACACACACACACACACACACACACAATTTGCCTCTTAGGAGGACATTGGGATGAAGTCATTCCCTAAAGGCAAACATACCAATAGCAACGTTTTTAATTGCCCTCTAGAATCAAACACATATGTTTAATGTTTATTATGCTTTTGGGGTTTTTCCCTTTCCTGTAGTGTGTTATAGTATGTGTGCATGTAAATGGTCTGCATTGGCTAAAAGGCTAAAATCCCAAGCCCCCTGCCTGATACAACTCGATTGGACTCCTTTGTTTACTTCAGTAACATAGTGACACACTACGTTAAACTATAGCTCTTCTATTGGCTAGTAGTTCAACACATTGTACGTGTTATGCTAAAGAGATGGACATCTCTAAGCAGTTGACCAATCCCAACAGAGCCTGCCAGCTAACCAATCAGAGCAGACTGGGCTCTGGTTTCAGACAGAGGGTGAAAAGAGGTGCTGCAGCACAGGCAGTATGAGAAAAATAAAGAGCTTTAGGAACATAAAGCATGTACATTTGCCACAGTTGAGGCACAATATGCAAATATGAACCTGAAAATGAGCATTATATGTCCTCTTCAATAATAAGACATTCTTGTTAAGGTTGATAAACAATGGTTTCTATGGTTAAACCAACGCTTACTCTCAATGTGTAACAGGTACACAGTCATTTTATTGAGCAATATAACAGTGTGACACTTTACCTGCTGCCATTAGAGGTTTTTGTTGATTAGAAAATAACCATATATCATTCTTGGTAATTTAAAGTAATTATTTTCTTGGTTACTATCATTTTTTTCTTGTGGCAAATATCAAGTCAAATATCAGAGCCAGCCGCTAACGCATTCCCAGCCTTTCTTTTACTTCTTAAGAACTAGAATATTAAATGAGCACCTATGCAGCATCAACAATACATCTTTGTAAAAAAATGCAGGAGAACGAAAGGACAACGTTAGTTTGATGCGTCCATTAACATCAAAGTGTTCCACATTGCCCACGTAATGGAATAATAAACCCACCCCTTCAATGACAGCAAGGAGGAAGAGAGGGTTATTGTCTTTGCAGCAGCTGATCTTTGTAGAATAACCAAGTGTAGCTTTGACGTGACAAAATATGAATACATTAAGCACAAATCAACAAGTGGCATATCAAAGAAGGAAGGAGTTACAGTTTATAGATCTCTGTCCAGCCCTCAGTGTGTGATGAGAAAATGTAATATGACTGTTGTTCCTCAACTGAGGTGGCTCTTTTTTTAGTACAAAGTGTTCCCTGTTTGGTGCTTTTATAGTTAGTAGTGTTAACCTCTTGCAAATGGGCCTTATTAAAAAGGAACAAGTCACTTATTTAAGAGGCAGTGGTTTATGTCTGTTCATTTCTGTCTTTGTCCTTTCACTTCTGGAAGACTACATTTTCCTCCTTCATATTTGTGACGCATCTTTACCTTTCCGATTTTATTTAATATTTTTGCCTTTTTGTTTACTGCCTTTAATCCGACTATCACTTCAACAATGCTCTCTGACAGTTTTGCATAAAAATACTGCCAAGAGGGGTTTATGGTCTTCGCACTGTTCTGTGATTTAAAGGAAAATGCCTAATGTATTGCAATGGCTAATATTAGCATAAGCTATGTGTTTTTTGGTCATATCTCGCAGCTGTTTATCAGTTAATTTGTATAATATTAATTTCGGAATTAAATCCTTTGTCTGACTAATTGTTTGTCCGTGTTTTGTTGTTTTTCTTCAGTGTCAATAGAGTAAATTATTTGTTCCTTGTCTAAACAAATCATTCATGTTTTTAAATGATTTAGCCTCCATCAATCTCTCCTTCTTCAATGCGCTCAAGAGAGGCTTCTCAGCTTAAAAAAGGATGTCTGTTTACTGTATTGTTATGCAGAGGGAATTTATTTCCCTTGAAGTTAAATCAATGAAGTGGGATGGGTCACTAAAGTCTGCAATGGTACACACATGTTAAGATAAAAGACCAACTTTATTTTCTTTATTTTCTTTTCCAGACAAATTCAACGCCTATGTCACTTTAAAGGTGCAAAATGTGAAGAGTACTACCATCACAGTCCGAGGGGACCAGCCATGTTGGGAGCAGGACTTCATGTTGTGAGTATCGACCTGCTGCTGCTCTTACTTTAAATAAAACAAAACAAAGAATCTATTTTCTCTGCCGCCTCATGTCCTTCGGGGCGAGTAGACAAATTCTTTTTCTGTTGTTTACATCTGTGATTCTGAGTGTTCTACAGTACTGCAGTACTACATGGTACAAGTGTTTGTCTACCGCTTTAAAGTCAACCCTGCTCCACCAGTTACAAATCTGCTCAAAGATTGTAGGTAAACCTTTTGAGAGACTCTATTAATCAGCCTATAACCACATATCGATGCTGTCCAACTACATCATCTCTGACCCCAACCATGTCCTGAACAGCGAATATGAATTGTTATGATCAAAACGGAGACACAGGGATATAATAAGGTCAGACTGAAGCATTCTTTTGTGCAGCAGTCAATCCTCAAATTAAATACAGAGCTAAATCCCTGTTCAAATGTACGCTAGAGGGTCTTGTTTCTCTTCAGTGATCGGGATGTTTTGTTAAATGTTTGTCCCTTGTATCTTGTCTTAAATCATTGTCCTTGTTGCAAATGGAGCTCGATGTCAGACTCGATCTGACAGTAAATTATAATCGTATTGTAAATCTTATTACTTACTCTATCGTCTTTATCTATTGCAGGGATTTTTCAATTAAAACCCAGAACCTCCTTTTTAGCCATAATTACATCAGTTATTTGAAACAAGGGTGCATACGATATAAACTTCCTGAAAATGTATCTGGTCTGTAGAAACCTCTTACATGAGGTTTATGTGTTACCCTATTGGAAGGATCATATATTCTTCTGCAGATTAAAGCTTTTTAAAATTATTTTGCAAAACATATATTCTAGTTTCAATTAAGCATTCTTTCTCACATATATATAAAGAGAACTGGATAAAGCGTTGGAGGCTGGACCCCGTTCATTCCTATGAAATTTGCTCAGTGGCGCATGAAGCCAAAGTGGCCTGACTCTTGAGAGCTAGGTTACCTGTAGCTGGGCTCATAGAGAGCCCCGCCTCCAAAACAGCGTGTCAGCAGGTCTTGGCTCTGACAAATGAGTGGAGAGAGAAAATAATGCTGGAATACGGCTTTTAGCACATTTCACATCTTAAGACCCTAATGATTTAAATAAAGGCTATAACAGTGTTCGTACTTCTAGTTGAATTTGTTTAAAAAAAATATTGACTGATTAGAAGATGTCTCTTTCCCAATGCAAGTAAAAAGTACTGACACAGATATTGAAGCTCTTCAGACTAACATATGAGGATTATTAAAATGGACAACACACTGCTGATGAATGATATACCTTTTCAATGTACTCTAATCAGACATAATGCTCATGTAGCAACAAAAGTAAAATCTGACTAATCATCAGTTTTGCCATAGCTAAATAGATAGATGTTCACAATATCATATATGTCGCCTTTTTGCAAATTTAGAGATTGCAAATGATCACATGATGGCAATAAAATATTTTACTATGAAAATACATTATCATAATTGATCCATAGCACCACGTTTGTGTGTATGAATTGACATGAGTTTTTTTTACCACTCTTTTCTTAGTTTCTTCCAGTTGCTTTTTACGTGTTGGCTCATTGTCACTTATATTAGAACCAACCTCTTGGGATGTATTAAGATAAATTGAAGCTTCAGAGTGTTTGTCAGCCCTTAGATGAAAACAGGACCAATATGCACTGCTATCTGACCTGCTAGCTGGCTTTAATAGGCCTTACTGAAATTGAAAGTGAGCATCAGCCGCCTGTTGGACTGTTGCCTGGCTGACACAGGATACAAAATAGGAATTTGTGTTCAGTGCAGGTAGGATGGATGGAAAGTGAAATGACATGCCGAGCTCAGATAAGTGGATGCGTCAGTGATAAATCTAATACATTTTCCATTCCAGTGTGATTCCATGGGGGGTAAAAAGTAGGCATTTAGATGGTTTGGAAATTCTACTTCGCTTTTGTTTATTGCGGAAGTGATGCTACTTCTTGTTTCTACCTCCATAAAGTATCTTTTTTGGAGGGCCATTGCATAAATACATTTTCTGAACTTCATTTTTTCTGTCATCAAAAACACAATTCTTTATTAAATAAGGTTTGATCTCTTCTAATCTCAATTGACTAATTCATATTTTTGTGTAAGAGTATGTCAGGTGTCCAGACATCCCATCTGCTTTCAAGAAAGTTTAGAGAAGGTTTTAAAAAGTTTAAACAATCAAACTCGCACCTTACTGAGAATTGTATTCTTGAAAAGTTTTAAATAACCTCAGATTAAATGCTTTTAGTTAATAATGGTAGTAAATATGTGTCCTCATTCACCTTGTACTTAGTGCTGCCTACAACACTCTTGGCAACAATGTTTTACCTTTTTATTTTAAATAGCTTTCTTTAGAAATGGGTCAGTCTCTTTGGTATAGTTCTGAAATAGTTAAAATCTTCTATTTTTGGAAGGAAATTATTTGTCTGAATCGTACATAACAAATCAGAAAACATCATATGTGGTGTGACCCAAGGCAGTGTCCTGGGACGCCTACTGTAACTTGGACCTATAATCCCATACCACACCATTCTCCCTAAAACAAATCAGTGAAGAATACAAATGGTTGTAAAGGTTAAAGAGGCCCTATGTTGCTTTCCTGTAGTGTGTTACATAGGTTTTTGTGCATGTAAATGGTCTTCAAAATCCCAAAGGGAGTTTTCTCTCCAACACACACTCAGACTTGTCTATCCTGCAGACTGATCCCCTCGATGTGATTAGAGGGATTAAATAGATTGACTGTGGATCCACATGATTACATTTGAAATATCCTCACTTCTCCTTTCCATAATCTCTACTTTTACCCTTTCCTGTCTGAGATTTGTATCTCCACTTTCAACCTGGGCTATGCTTGAAAAAAACCAACATAAACATATATTTATATGTATTTTTCCAAAGCTTCTCAATAGACTTAAAAAATACGTATCAACATTATTTATTGCTAAATTCAATAGGTCTCTCAAAACTACTGTTTCAACTTTAACCCTTTCACAGTGTTTTTTTTCAGTTCATGTTTGGTCACCAAACACTTCTTTTTCAGCATCCGGTTGTATTTTGGCCCACAACTTTTTTCTCACTTCTCGTTCCAAAAACAAAGATGGTGACGGCCAGAAGTCAGATTTCTGTTGTATCCTCGCATTAGATGTTAAGAAGTAAATTAGATTATAAGTATTACAATTTGTTAACCCAAATCATACTTTCATCATGTCTCGCTCATTTATACATTACTGATTTCGGACAAAGAATACATTACACCGTCTATTCTTTCCCGTTTGCAGGATAATATGTATTAAGATGATTTCAGTTAATGAGATCAAGAGTTCAGATCAAGGAAAAAGGCATTTAATACAACCTTAATGATTACAAGGGTGTGTTGATGATTATATGCAAAGGAAAACCCAGGGCCTCCTATGTTAAATAGCTAATAAAATGCAAACTCTCATTAGCAGCAGTTGGCTCTCTGGGGGGCGGCAGCAGGGTGCAGGGTGCGTCTGAATCGCAACAGAGTTTGATAAACAGAATGAAAGGGCATTCAATGAGTCCAAATAGAACAGAGGGCCAGCTCAAGCATTGTATCTGAATGTGCTTAAAAGTGAGTTTATTACATCAGCTATGTCAGTGTTCTAAGCCTATTGAGTGAGATGAGATTTATAGTATAGCTTCCTGGTTGTACAGGATTAGCAGACGTACTGTGGCATGCTTTCATTCTGGACTGGGGGAATATCCAGCAGATTAAAGAGAGAACAGCTGACAGAACTGGATTGAGAGTGAAATGTGGTTTTTCATTTTCAGTCTCTGGCTTATGCCCACCCATCCTGACACACGTTGGACTAAAAATAAAAGTAGTAACAGTATTCTCCAGCTGCACTTGGAGCTCCTCTCAATCTCTCCCCTGCTGATAGCATTCATGTTATCTCTCTGGCTGTTTGCAGCTGGCTGTTAACCTTTCTGAAACCCTGATTGTTCCAGCTGCAAGCCATCCATTAATACTGCTGTGTTTATTATACCCTGCTTCGAAGTGTCTCTTCTTAACATGGAGTACCTCTTTAGGCAAATTAAAGAGAAGGTGATTCTGAATGAGGCATTTTATTGTTGTACTGGCTTTATTTGGATGATGTATTCAAGGCCAGGAAAAGTTTTGTCATGCCTCGAACAGATTCAACTCATACCTCAATTCATAACTCAACAGTTTCGTGGAATTTCATGGTGTTTCTCAAGGCACTAACATTCATTAATCTATTTTAGGAAAATATACTGAAATTATTAGCAAAATATTCTCTAGAGAATGAAAAGAGAAAAGTGCGTCCCAATTAGCATCCGATTGGCATTCTGAAACTGAGTCTAATGCCTAATGTGAAAAGTGAAATTTACTCTGATGACCAGTTTGAGGCTTTTTAACGGGACTTCAGATCATTGGGAACTTATCCTTTTTATCCGAAATAAATGTTAAATTTGCCAACTTCAGTTCATTAACACCCAATTTAATGGTAATTTGACATCTTCACGCTATTCTTTTACCGTAATATACCAACCTTGGGGACTGCTATCATCAACAACAGATAATAACACATTTCATGTGATAATTTATACCATTTTGTAAGATACAGTATTTAAAAAAATACTGGTGCTCTAATTGTAGTGAACTTTGGTATAGTTATAAATGATCACAATGAGATGACTTTGGTGACCCTTTGGACTTTTTAATAGTGCCACCCATAGGTTAGTATATCCCTTTGAACAACAGTTCAAAGCCCCTATGGCTCCTCAACACAGGCACCTGCTAAAACACCTTCAACTGTTGTTTTCTGTGTAAGCCCAAACAATACAGAGTGGCAGTGATGACGTATATTTGTAGACGCAGAAGTTACCCAGCAAGGCCTTCCTAAAAAAAAACATACTTTTCATGTTTTGTTCAACAGGGTAAACTTCACATTAACACCACTTTGTGATTTTTGAAGCGTAAATGCAATTAGCAGAAATGAAAATCGCCCGACAAAAAACAAGTGACGTTAAAAGGAATTTGCATTAACTCTTTATTATAGCCTTATCTTTGACAGCCTTGCTTTTAATATTTGTACTGGAATATTCCAGTCTATATTCATCTTCTAATATAATACATATTGGTCAATCGTCCCTCCCAGTCCATCATTTTCATCAAGCCTCGTTCTCAGCGAGAACCCACATGCTTTACTTCCCCCTCGTGTTATACCTCCTTTCCTCTTGCAGTATCTCTATCAGCTCTTAAACACAAGATGTGTGTGTGTGTGTGTGTGTGTGTGTGTGTGTGTGTGTGTGTGTGTGTGTGTGTGTGTGTGTGTGTGTGTGTGTGTGTGTGTGTGTGTGTGTGTGTGTGTGTGTGTGTGTGTGTGTGTGTGTGTGTGTGTGTGTGTGTGTGTGTGTGTGTGTGTGTGTGATTCCTGAGCGATAAAAATACACCATGTCATTCCCTGCACAGCACAAACCATTCTCTCAATAATAGAAGGGCTTTGATGGAGGGCATATGCCAAAGTCGGATGTGTGAGTCAGAGACAGATTGGAGACAGACTGCAGGGATGGACAGCGTCAGACCTATTTCGAATCCTATTTGGGATTTTATGTATTGTGGTTTAAATTAAATAATCTCATGGATTAAAAACAGGCTGTAGATCATAAAACACAATTTTTTTTTTTCTTTAAACGAGAATTATTTTTCTCATACTGCCTGTGCTGCTGCACCTCTTTTAACCTTCTGTCTGAAACCAGAGCCCAGTCTGCCCTTATTGGTTAGCTGGCCGGCTCTGTGGTGATTGGTCAAACGCTTCAAGATGTCTCGCCCCTTAGCCAATGAAATACAATGTGTTAGAGCACTAGCCAATAGAAGCGCAAGTGTTACATAGTGATGTCAGTATGTTACAGAAGTAAACAATGGAGTCTATTAGAGGCGTTGCAGGCAGGGAGGGAGTGTGTGGGAGAGAAACTCACGTCAGGAAAGGGGAAACCCCAAAAAACATTATTTGGCCTAGTTAAACACATCCAATGTTCTTAAGGAGGTATGAGTTGCCACTGAATTCTGATATGTTCAGGCTGTTTATATATTCAAACACAGTATTCTTTTGATACAAATGCTGGTGCTTGGGCGATATTGTGTAATACCAGGTGAAATACTGATAGAGTTCGCCTGCCAAAGCCAGAGTACGTTCAGTTCCTCTCACTTTAATTGAAGAGAATCTTTACTGGCCCAATATGATCTCTTTTATATCGGTTACCATTGTTGAAAAATCTCCAAAAATAAGGGCATGCATATATGTAGATGGTTAATGGTAATCATGCTAACATCATTTTGACTAGACTCCTCTCTCACAGCTGGTCCAATTCATCAGTTTGTGACAAGTACACACACACACACACACACACACACACACACACACACACACACACACACACACACACACACACACACACACACACACACACACACACACACACACACACACCAGATTCTACCACCCACCCTCTTCTCCATCATCCCAGCTGTGAAGTGTCAGATGACTGACAGCCAAACTGCTGACAGAATGAATATGAATGGGACTGTGAATGTGAATATGCAGATGAGGAGGGGAGACTGCTGACAGATCTGTCAGAAAATGACAGCTGTCATTCTTCAGCCTCACTACTTTAGGAAAAGACTGGCCCACTTACTGATCTGCTGGCAGTGGAAAGCTACTTAACTGCACACTGTGGCCTATGCTGGAATGGAACAATGCAGTATGTGAATCAAAACACAGTTGGAATAGGGACTTAAATAAATCTGTTTAATTTTTTTTTACTCTTAAATTCATTCATAGACATTTAAACTGACACAGGAACAGCCTTTGTGAGGTATTTTAATCAGAATAATACAGCAAATAAAAATAAGATGTACAGACAATCTGGCACAGCGAAACACGTGTTGACGTTGTTCATGAAGCCACAACAGACATATCTCTGAATTCACAAATCCATGAATTATAGCCACTAGAATTCAAGTTTTGTAAATTCAGAAAAGCCAAAGGGAAAACAGTAAGGCTGTGGCTCAGTGGGTAGTGTGCTGGACTTCGAATTAGGGGGTAGCAAGTTCGAGTCCCACTGCAGTCAGCATGTCGTTGTGTCCCTGGGCAAGACACTTCACCCCAAATTGCTCCTGTGGGGATTGTCCATAGTACTGAATGTATGTAGGTCGCTTTGGATAAAAGCGTCTAACAAATCACATGTAATGTAATGTAATGTAATGTAAGAAAGACCACACAATGTTTGTCAGCTCAAATTTTGTAAGATATGTTTTTCGTATCAATATACTGTATAAATCAATCTAATTTCTTTGCATTTTGTTGCAAAACCTTGCCATGATATCCTGAAGTCATTTCAAGTGTTCTTCAATCATCAATATTCAACAGTGTTGTGGAATAATAATTCCGACTTGAATAGCATATACAACACTTATATATCCTGAACAAGCATACATTTAATTCTAAATGTAATTTAACCTTTCAAGTCATATAGAAAATCACCCTCTGTAAAGTTGTCTGGAAAAAATATATTAGGTTTAAAGACTAAATACATATGTGTGCATATTTATTGTTATATATAATGTAGTAGAATGTGCACATTTTCTTTCTTTATACAAATATTTGTATTTAATGTAGCTTCATTTAATGCATTTGTATTTGTATGTTTTTTTATTTTATTCTAAAATGGAGCTACTGGTACAAACCCACACAAAAGTCCAGCTCAATGTTGATATTACCCATGACTATATTTTAAAGAAATTGATGTTGCCTTTTTCCTTTCCTCTGGCTTTACTTTGGTCGAGTTTGACCTCTGCCTGTAGAGGACTGTCATTTAATGTTCAGATATGAATGTTCAACCACCAGATGTTAGCAACAGTTCATTGCTATACTGTGTACTGCACATACATACACTTGAGCACCCTAACAACACTTGGTATTTGGGCACGTTTTGGGTAAACACTGCAGATCAAGAACAGAATAACAACCCACGACATTCATATTATCATAACATTTTATTTTCCACTGCTGATAAAGTTCAGGCCCGTATTTCTTGGGAAAAATCCTATATTTGACAGAAAAAGCGTGTTTCACAGATTTATTTTTAACACTAGAACCGGCAACGGGTCAATTTTACCCGCAGCTGTTTTTTGATTGTATGTAACTTTTTTTCAATAAAATATTCAAGTTTCCCAGTCCGTGACTTTTCCTGAAAGTGTGTTATGTAGCACCCTCTGTTGTTACAAATTGTCAATATGAAGTCAGATTGAAAAAAATCGCCCCAAAAAATGCCATTTATACCTATATCCGCCAGCGGGTAATATTTACCTCATAGAAAATGCAGCGTAAACATGACGTGTTGCTATTGCAACGTCTTTTCCCTACTACGGTTCCTGAGAGAGAGAGAGAGAGAGAGAGAGAGAGAGAGAGAGAGAGAGAGATGAGAGGAACGAGAGAGCGAGGAGAATAGAGATTATAGAGAGAGAGTAGAGCGAAGGATGAAGGAGCGTCGACTACTCGAGCTCGAGCGAGAGCTAGCCTCTCCTCTGCCGCATCATGCGCTAGCCCTCGTCTCTGCTACTCGCGCTCTCTCTGCTCTCTCTCTCTCGCGCTCTTCCTCTCTCTCTGCTCTCGCCCTACTCGCTCTCTCTCTCTCTGCTCCTCTTCTTCTTCCCTCAGCTCCTCTCTAGAAGAGAGAGGAATTTGTATCTAACCAAACACAAGGTCTAAACCCAAGCGTTTTAAATCAGCACTGGTAGCGATACTTATATACTTCATGCTATCTGCAGAAATATATCAATGAAAGCTGAGAGTCCACAGATTTATATTGGTATAAGTTTCATCCCTGTGCGATCAAAACTCACTGTTCTACATGATAAATAAAAGAACATTGTACCTTGAAAATCAATAGCGGGTAAATTTGACCCATTGGCGGTTTTAGGTATACAGCGACCTCTGGCGGTTCTAGTGTTAAATAATCTACACAAGATGTGGGTAGGTATCATGAACTGTCAAACAGTAGCTACCATTACTAAAAAAAATAAAGAAAATAGCATGACTTGCAGAAACTTCAACTTCATCAATGGAGTAGTGTTGGGTGTTCTTGAAAGGTAGATTCCAGGTTTAACCTTTACTCTGTATGTTGATGTGTTTTTCTGTTTCTACAGTGAGATCAATCATCTGGAGTCAGGTCTGGTGGTGGAGCTGTGGAATAAAGGACTGATCTGGGACACAATGATCGGCACAGCACTGATACGGCTGCACACCATTCGACAGTCTGACGAGGTACAAACAACCACCCCTGGTTATTTCATCCATAAACACACAAGCTTAACACAAAGAACTTAAAGTTAATGTCCAATTCTCAATAAGTGGGACACAAGATCTTGTTCTTCCGAAGCAAATCACTTTTTTCAGAACTGTCATGTTCTTGCTTTGTGTTTCCTGTTTTATTTTGAATAGCTTTTCACCCTCAATGTTGCTGTATGTCTGTTTTTATTTCCTGTCTTTGTGTTTTCCCGCCTGCTGGATTCTGTTCAACTGATGGGCTTATGTTTTTGTCTGCCCTCTCCAGTAGTGTTTTGTCTTTGTGATTTGTTCTGCTTGTATTTAAGTCCCTGTCCTCTGTGAGTCTTTAACTTGTTTGTTGTTATGTCGTTAGCTCGCTTTGTGTTGGTCCATAACAAAATTACGCAACCTACGTTTTTTTGCCATGGAGGTCAAGTGTATGTGAGGTGTATGAATACATCTTTTCATGGATCATGTACGCAGCTTTTGCAATTGATGCACCTGTTTCATGTATGTCTTTGACAATAGTTAATGTTAATATCAACATTGAAGTAAGTTTTGCTGGTTGTAATTATCCCTATCATTCATGACAGCTGTTAAGGTTTTTCTTATGATTGCTTTTCCAATGAAAAGAGGGTTAAATTGTAATGCACGTAAGGCATATGTATCACATGCCCTTCCTTTCAGTACAGCTTTGTATTACACTATACCCTCTTTTGATGATTCTTGAGATGGTGGATCCATGCTGAGCTTCTTAGCTTCAGAAGAACTTTGTAACATATATTTTTAAGGCTTAGACTGTGGACTAAGTACAAATATAAGAGAGAACTCACCAACCCAGAGAGGTATCACTTTATACTGCCCCTCATTACTAAATATTAAATAGATAATTAATTAAACTTTAGTTAATAGTTATGTTACTGCTTATAAACATGACATTGTAATGAAATAATGTTTACTTAGTATGATTTTTAATGTTCATTTGGTAATCATTAACACATACTTAAGATATTATATAATATGTATGTTATAACTTGTCCAACAATGAACTGTTAATAGTTGCAATCAGAATGTCATTGTTATCTTCTCTTATCAACTATGTTACAATACATAATTTAAAAACAAATTGTTTCATGACGGGGAAAGATAAAGATTTACAGCATCAATAAGGACTTACGTTTTTTCAATATTATCATTTAATAGTTAACAGTAAAATAACTATTAACTAAAGCAATTTGCACTGTATGAAAGGTGGGGTAGGTAAGTAGGTAAGCTTCCTTACAGAGCCCCTCCTCCAACACACACGAACGCGCACATGACCAATGAGGGCACGAGATAAGTTTGTGCACAGATGGAAGGCTGACAGGCAGGTAGGCCATCCAGTTATTTTAGCCGGGCCGGCTAAAATGATTGGTCGTACTTTTGACAGTACTACGGCTTCCACAGATGACATTTCTTTTGTGGATTTTTTGTCAAAGCACTTAATCAAATCAAATCAAATCAAGTTTTGATTTATATAGCACATTTTTAAACGATTTTTGGTCGAGCCAAAGTGCTGTACATATAATAAAAATACCCTACAGTAAAGACACTTTACAGCAAATACAACAGCACAGTTTGTTCAGAATATCAGTATGAGAAAACGACACCCTCTGTCCTTAGACCCTCACATCGTACAAGGAAAAACTTCCAAAGAAACCCCACAGTTAAAGGGGAAAAAATGGGAGAAACCTCAGGGAGAGCAACAGAGGAGGGATCCCTCTCCCAGGACGGACAGACGTGCAATAGATGCCGTGTGTAAATCGAAGAGATAATACATTTTACAGCGTAGGTAGACCAAATGTTTGGAAATGCATGTGTCTGTAATAAGAAGATGAATCCACGAGGATGTCAACAACAATCCTGTGGGAGCCATCAGGGAAGCAGCATGACGAGACCCAGGCAGGACTTAATATATTCATTGCTATCGGGATGTTAAGAGCATTCCATGGAATATAACAAAAAGTGTATCTCGAGCCGGTTTCTCAAACTTACCTACCCCACCTTTAATTATGGTTATTTTAAAGTATTAGCCCTTATCTAAATGTTTTCATGGTATACACAGCTTAGCACGAGGAAGTAGAGTAGCAGAGAAATGAACACGATCTTTACCTGTCAGCTAAGTTTAAAAAAAGCTCTCTCTCAGGGTGCTAACTCATTACAGCAAACTGCGAGCATGCTTGTCTCGCCTCTAAAACTCATTTATTTTCTGGAGAGAGTGAAGTGAGAAGTGAGCAAGCAGCACTTATGTATTCATAAATAATGCATCCCCCAGTGTTTTTACTTCCCCCCTAAATGTGAGCACAGTAAACTCTCACTTCTGTTCTAACATGGTCTGAACGGCCAGGCCAGGCCCTTGCTTCTTCAGTTTTTCATCTTTGCTCAACTTTCTTGAAGAATGTTCCTCCTTAGCCAGCAAACACCCTTCATTTTCCTCAAGGAATGTTTCTTTCTTCCTTTATTTATCTGTTCTCTCTTTCTCCCTGTGTCTCTTTCTCAGGAGGGACCAGGGAAATGGACATCGCTTGACTCTGAAGTGTTAATGCAGGAGGATGAGATCTGTGGAACTTCCAACCCAACTCCTCACCAAGTGCTGCTGGACACCCGATTTGAGCTGCCCTTTGGTATGTATGTGTTCACGGACACATTTATCCAAAATACTACACACACACAAACACAGCGACATAACCATTATGTTAATGCGGCTTAGAAGATCTGATAGTGTAGCATCCTTTGGCGGAAGGTTGATGTAACTAGCATTATTTTATTTGTATTATTGAACTGGTGCGGAACAATAATCTATGATTGCACAATAGGAGCTTCATTTTTCTCATACTGCCTGTGCTGCAGTGCTTCTTTTCACCCTCTGTCTGAAACCAGAGCCCAGTCTGCTCTGATTGGTTAGCTGGCCGGCTCTGTTGTTTATGGTCAAGCGACATTAAATCACATTAAATGCAAACATGTCACAGTAGAGGCACAAAATACACATATGAACCTGAAATGTAACATTTTGTACTTCCTGTTTACATCCGTCAGAGCATATTTGGAACTGTAGTTCTAAAACATTTATACCAAATTGAAGACAAAGGATAAATGTATTTTAAAAAGCCAATATTATTACATCTTTTTATGCTGAAATATAAAATAATCAATATATAGTATATTCCTCAGGCATCTCTGTGTGTCTTGGGTCTCTTGTTACCAAGACATGGTTTGATATGAGTGGTCAGATGAACAGTGTATTACCTTTATGTTGTCACTGCTGTTGTAGCCTTTTGTCCCTGAGTCAACGCTCGTTTGTTGATGGAAAGGTTCTTCCAATCCCTTTCCTGCAGATACTCTTTGCTTGTTCTTTACAGTTTCCCATCTGTTGTGCGAAACACACAAAAAAAGATAGCAGTTGCTCGTGTTTTTGCAGGACCACAGCTGGCTTCCATATCTCTCCTCTTTGTATCCTGACATTCCCTCCAGCTTGCACATCCGATATTTATCTGTTGGCTTCTCTTGATTTTCTCTTAACTGCCTGCATAACTGGACTGTTCCCTTTGAAGTAAAACGAAGGTTGAGAATGGCACTTAACTTTTGATGTGCAGTGGTGTACTGCGATACTCTGATATTGATAGGGGTCGCCTTTACAACACTGACATTTTTAGCAGGTTTTTAATAGTCGGGGGAGTCCATTGAACTGGGCCTGACTGGTATACTGAGGATCATTAACTGGTATGACAACATCAGCAATGCATGCTTTGCGAACATTGATTTCATTAAAATAACAACACTGCAACGAGTAGTGTGCCTTAGTTAAAGTATCTCTGAACTTAATAAATATATATATACATCAAAACTTTGCTTGATAGGGAAAAGAGATCTGTCCCTACTTTTTCCAAGTCTTTTTTTGCTATTGGGTATGAAAGCAACTAGCTACTGTAGCTAACTGCTATCACATTGTTGTAAAATAGGCTGATGAAACTTACATTTAAGGTACATTTCCACCAACAGTTGGCCAACTTAAAATCCCCGAACGTCAACAAGCGTCACAGCTATGTTTTTATTGTCCCCATTTCGGTTGTGTTTCTTGCAGTGTTTTAGTAAACCCTGCACATGTTTCGTCAAGTTGGTGAATGTTTTCTAAATGCTGTGAATGCGTTTCCAAGTTGTTGAAGATGTTTCCTCATTTGCATGTGTTTTTGCACATTTCTGTTTTTATTATTTTCAAACTGCAGCACGTTTCTCCTAATGGAAATATTTTGGGCCGTTGTCGCACGGTTCCACTTATTGGCGACCGTAGTTTTAAATCGGCTAAATGTAATTTTACTTAAAATATTGCTAGCTTTTTTTTGTGAGATATGCTTATCTTAACATCATACATTTTATGCACTTTTGGGTAATTATACCAAAATAGTACACTGTAAGTATAAAAAGTCAGTTAATAACATTAAAATGCTCACAAATTACCATTACAAAGGTATTGGTCTTGGACATGTGCTATTTCATATACTGTATGTTTAAGAATTAATATGTACAATATATTACGTATTTAAACATTTGACACTGACTAGCTGTGTTTTGCATGGGAACATTGTGGCGCAGTGGTGAGTGCGTTAGTGGTGTTCGGATCAGGGGGGCACAGGTTCAAACCCCACTGCAGTCAGCATGTCGTTGTGTCCCTGGGCAAGACACTTCACACCAAATTGCTCCTGTGGGGATTGCCCACAGTAGTGAGTATGTAAGTCGCTTTGGATAAAAGCGTCTAACAAGTGACATGACATGTCATGTAATGTAATGTAACATGGCTGAGACCATAGCCAGGCTTTTACATCTTCCCCTATTCTTCACTTTATCTCCTCTTTAGCCCCAGCTTCTTGCCTTTCTGTGGCTTTGGGGAGGACCCGTGAGGCCCCTGAGGTGGATGTTCATTCTATTTCTGGTCCTCCAAAAGGAAACCTCCTCATAAGCTATTAAACACACATGAATATAACATGGGACAACATTAAGCAGTGCAGATGGGATACGACAGGGTGGGACTGAGGGAAGGGTGGAGTCACAGTGCCTGTGCTCCTCTCTCTGCCTGACATTCTATGTTTCGCACTTTCCTTCTTCCTCCATTATTTACCTTTCTCTTTTTATCACGCCTACCTCCCTTCACCTATCCTTCCATCCCTTGTGTCTGTTATTCCTCCATTTACCCTCTTGCACTCTCCTCCTAATATTCTCCGGACTTTCTTTTAACACTTCCATCCAATCGGTCTAGATATCCCAGAAGACGAAGCTCAGTACTGGACCAGTAAACTGGATCGGATCAATACCATGCGGATACATGACGAGGTAGGTCTACTAAATAAAACCTTTTGCTTTGCATTCAAAAGTATTTTTCCTGTCCATATGTTTTAGATTACATAGAAATGAGAGATGTTCAATCCAGAGTCTTAAAGGAGATCTACTGAAAAAAGCTAGGACTGGCTTCCATTTTCTTCACCAAAGTATGTAGGTATTTGCAGTGGTGGAAAAAGCAGATTTACTTTGGACCTGAAATACTCCATTCCAATATAAAATCATGAATTGAAACTGTTACTTAAAGGGGACCTATCATGCAAAATGCACTTTTGTACGTCTTTTATACATGAATATGTGTCCCCGGTGTGTCAGGGAACTCACCAAGTGTCAGAAAACACAACCCTCTCTCTTTTCCTCCATACCCAAATCTCTAAAAACGGGGCTGCAACGGATCTGATACAGACTGATACAGATTTGAAAATTATCTGACGTCAGGAACGAGGAGCTCCGCCTATATGCCCAACTCTCCACCTATCAGGGGAATGAGAGGTTGCCGTGGCATGGTAACAGCATGGTAACATGACGCTCGTGCCTCGCCCCCCTCCTTTGCAGGGGGGCGTGGTCAGCTGCAGCTCATGCAAAGACAGGGCTGGAGGAGAGCAAAATAGAGCGAAATGAGGCATGGCTAAAATGCATGATCTGTTTGGTATTTTGAAAAAAAAACTTCACAGACATGTTTTATATAGGTATGGCCCTACAATATATTATTCAAATATAGCATGATAGGTCCACTTTAAGTAGTAGTAAGGAAGTATTACCAGTAAAAAGTAAAGTGTAATTTAAAGTGTAATTTAAAATACTGCGTATATTAAAAATTAACGTATTTCATCACTTGTGTTTTTATATGTACAAAAAAGCTTGTAACTATGAGTGTTTAATAAATGTAGTAGAGTAAAAAGTACATGTCATGCCTCCAAAATGTAGTGAAGTAAAAGTATATGTAGCATTTAATGGAAATATTCAAGTTAAGATGTAAAAATAGTACTTAACGACAATACATGAGTAAATGTAATTTGTTACATTCCACCACTGGGTAGTTAGGAAGAAGAAGGAAGTTTTAAAATGATTATATATAAATCCAAGCAGTATAGGATAGGACAATATAGGAGGGGATTGTGTGTAAAAAGTATTATATGAATCATTAAAACTTTAATAAGTGGCTTTACTTGTTCATGCTTTTACAATCTGTATCCATCAACTGTGCGCCAAGCCGTGTGAGAGTAGGAGCAGAAAGAAAGGTAAAGAAATGATAATAAATAAAAACAAAGGGTAAAATGTAAAGTCAATTATTTATCAAATACACATTTGGTTTTGATTGCCTTCTTACTTCTAATCTTCTAATCAACTTTATTAGTGGTGCCATAAGGCTGTTATTAAAAGTAAAAATATGCAAAATGTAGTTTGGAGTCAGTATATTTCTTGTGACTGTGACATGTTCCCCAAAAGAAAATGAATTGTATAAAAAAACTAATCTGAATTCATTCCATCACCTTTAAATTATATACAAATTATCTTCATCCTGAAGTTGTATCGTTTCTCCAGTTTTCCATTCAAATAATTTTCAACATCAGACAAAAACATTTTAGAAAATCAATACAGTAATAAAATAAAGACAACTTGTTTTATTTTTGTGGATATTACAGAAATGACTAGAATACTCAATTTCAAACCTCTCCAGTGTCTCTTTGTAGAATATCATTTACCAACCATTGTCACAATGTGGTCCATTCTTAGTGAGTTTGTGTTGGCTCTCTGCTTCCATCTACTGGGCAATAATACTAACAACACCACAGATGATCCATAAATACTGTATTGACTTGTGCCTTTTTTAGTATTAAATGATATTGATTTGCTTTTCAATTGTGACAGTATCCACTGCAAGACGAGGTCCAGAGAACACGAATGGCTTCTGTTCCCTCTCAGTGCTGTGAGTATAGAAGTCACATTAATGCCATAGCACTTTTCACACGTTCACCTTTTTTTTGTATTGAATTAGTTTGGGAAAGAGATGTCTGTAAAATCAGAGGATCATTTTAATTTGAGCTAAATCAAATACCCAGTATGTACACTCTTAAAACCCTTATTTAAATCATTAGGGTCTAAAAGTGGTAAAATGCGCTAAAAGCCGAATCTAGAGTTATTTAGCCTCCATTCTAATGACTACGCCGAGAGCGGGAGATCCGATGCGAGCTTAAAGAATACTCAAGTGCACACGCTCTATGAGCCAGACACTTTTTCTCTTGAGATTCAGACCATTTTTGCTTCATGCGCCACTGAGCAACTTTCATAGGAATGAACCAAGTCCCGCCTCCAACGCTGTTTCCAGTTCTCTTTATACATCCATGATTAAACCATACCAGTGGGATGAGATGCACATCTGATTGGCTACAGACACTTCTCTGCCAAGAGCGTTTGTGAATGTAGTGGCGTCATTCAAATGCTGAGCGATTCATGCACAAAAAGCACATTTTATTTTATAAATGTACAACATTTAAATACGTTTTTGATGAAAACATTAAACATTATTAAATACAGGAATTTGTGGATATATATAACATTAATTTAAAACCCAAACTACTTATGTTTGGATCAGAAATGTATTTGTGAAACTTATTTTTCTGTATGTGGATTTTGTTTTACATTTATATAAAACGTAATAAGTATTTGTGTGTGCAAATGTATATATTAATCCCCAAATTACATTTGTGAATCCTTCTGTGTGCATTTATTTATTTAGAGACTAATCTCTGACCCCATAATACTCTTCTATGTGACATGTATATACTGTGCACACACACTATTTATTTTCTATTTAAGTTAACTTATTTTACCATACTAATCTTGATTGTTGTGTTTTATTGTACATAAGGTACTGTTGTTAGTATTACATCTTACACACTTTACTTTTTATTCATATTTCATTACATTTTTTACACTACATCTTTTTATGCTCATGTTGTTGGAATTTCTTTGCAATATCTGGCACAAGAATCTTCTTCAGGTTTAATAAAGTTCCATCTTATCTTATATTATCATATGTTATTCATATATTTTCGTATCATATCACATCTCATCTCTTCTTATCTCATCTCATCTTATCTTGTATCATCTTATCTTATATAATCTTATTTTATATCATATTATATCATCTCATCTAATCTTAACTCATTCATCACATTACTTTGTGTGATTTGATCACATTGCTTAACTCATACCTTATTTACCCCATACTGGTCTAACCCATTCCATATTTACATCAAGCTTCCAAGATGTAGGTGGTTTCAGCCCCATTGCATGTTACATACTTGAGTACTGTAATGAAGTACACTTTGCTTCCTCACTTCTTTGAACACTTGCCTTCATGCCTTCAGGCAATTGGAGTTATTTCGGATGGAATGAACAGCAGAGTACGTATAGTGGATGTTTTGTTTCCCCTCTTACTTGTCATCTACTGTACTTCTGCATGGATCAGGACTCTTCTTTGCATTTCCTTTCACATACTGAATGTTTGGTCTGTTTTCTTTGTTTGTGGCCATTGTATTTACAATTTAACATTCATGTGCCTTTCTGATCAATGTAGGTGTCATTTGTGTTAACATATATAATGTGGCATTTTGAGTATGTTGTAATATTCTAACATCTTGTTGTTCATGTCATTGTCAGCTTGGTCTTTTTTGTATTACACGCCTGCTGCCACAAGAGGGAGCTTTTTATTCAAAAATATATTATTATTTGGAAGAATTCCTTACATCATGGCCTAGCAGCAGTGTTGGAATAAGTACTTAGATCCTTTACTTGAGTAAAAGTACAAATAGAATGGACCTAAAATACTCTATAACAAGTAAAATTCCTGATTTCCAATTGTTACTTATGTAAAAGTACAAAGGTTTTAGCATCAAAATATACTTAAAGTACAAACCGTCAAAGTACTCATTCGGCACATTGGCCCATTATGGCCCAATATATACAAATAACTAATGTGTGAAAACAAATTTACAGGAGTGATATTTGCCTCTGAAATGTAGTGGAGTATAAGTTTAAATTAGCATTCCATTGAAATACTCAAGTTAAGCAGAAATATGTCAAAAAATACTTTACTGATGTAACTTTGGCATGAATTACAATTTTGATTTCTTCCACTTGTCAAGTTACACTTTACAAATTTGGCATGCTTACAATGACATGTCTGTAACACACGGAAGAAAAGGAAGCTTGTTTTATGTATTATGAGCATTAAAGATGGGGTAGGTAAGTTTGAGAAACCGGCTCGAGATACACTTTTTGTTAAATTCCATGGAATGCTCTTAACATCCTGATAGCAATGAATATCTTAAGTGCTTTGACAAAAAATCCATAAAAAATGGATGGCCTACCTGCCTGTCAGCCTTGCATCGGGGCACAAACTTACCTCGTGCCCTCATTGGTCATGTGCACGTTCGTGTGTGTTGGAGGAGGAGCTCTATAAGGAAGTGGCAGATTTTCTCCGGTTGTGTATTTTCAAATTCTAGCGATCTCGAGCCGGTTTCTCAAACTTACCTACCCCACCTTTAAATACACTGTCTAACATCTACCAGAGGCCTTTTCTATCAAATGTAATACATAAATGAATGAAGAGCAAAGTATTATCTGAAAATCTAATGGACTTAGATAAATCAGATTTAAATGTAATTTAGAAATGATGTCATGTATTTTACTCAACTGTTAATGTTGTCTTTTCCCAGCTTTGGATGACCATGACAGTGCAGTGGATGACCGCGACAGTGACTACCGCAGTGAAACTGGCAACAGACCTCCACGGTTCCACAACACCTCCCAGACAAATTCATCAGTGCACCAGTACCCTATAGGACGCAGGGTCCCACATCACACCCTTTCCAGGGAGTCAGACTCTATTCAAAACTATGAGCTAGACTATAGAGAAATGAGGCAGCCCAGGTAAACCCACATCTACTCACAAAAACATCATGCATGTGTTTTCTTTGCTTTGAGGAGTTAAGTTAACAAGAGAAGCAGAATCTATTGATAGAGATAGGAGCCACAGCCTTGGATAGTTTTGTCAAATTATTTAATTAGTTTAACAAGTATGCTTTTGCAAGTTCAGTGATTGCCCAATATAGATGTTTCATCATGTAAGCAATGATATTGAAAGTGTTGCCATGGGAAAACAAATGATCTCTGACAAAATCAGAGAGAAAAACTATGGCAGCCAAAAATAAGCCTACCAAAATATGAATCTTTCATCTGCATGAACAACAGCACAAACATTTTATCCATGAATTTGACACAGTATCAACAACATGTTTGTTTGTCCATATGTGTTTTACATTTCCACTTGACTTTTTACTAAACTTCATTAAGACTTTCTTTGCATGGTATTTCGTTTCTTCGACCACGTCTGATACTTAATTTCTCATTTTATCTTTTCCTTTCTTTCTTTTTTTTCTTTGCAACACACTCCACTGCTTCCTGCATGGCACTATTTTCCTTGAATCAAGGCGATCAAACAGTAAGGGTGTTGTAAGAATAATCCCTGTGGACTCAGGTATGGGTGTGGAGGACTGGGAGAATAAATATAAAGTGCCTGATTCAGGTGTCTTGGATGATTACTTGGACGCTGAGCAGAAAATATGGGAGGAAGAAGATAAAAGCATCATCTATCGGATCAGTGACAATGCTAGTGAGTCTAAAGGTAGCAGGTTCTATCAGACAGTGGAATGTGACGCATTATCCCCTGATGGTACGGAGGAGGTGAACGGCAGGCCAAACAGGCAGAGGCATGGCTTTGGTAGTGGAGAAGTTCGGTTAGTTTATAAGGAAGCTGGCAGCTTTGAGGATGAATCTTCCCCTCCGGAAATTGATATAATTCCCTCTGTCAAACAGCAACGACAACAAACAGTCAGAGAAGGCCTACTGTACAAAACAAGACTGTGGGCAAAAACTGCCCTAGAGGACACACTTGAGAGCTATGCAGCTTTTCGTGAGGAGGAGGCTACTCGGGAAGACGCTGCTAGGATCAGGGGAAATGGTGAATATGGGTCAGTTGGTTCAGATGAGCTGCAGTATTCATTTGGATCTGATGAGGAACTAGATGACCTGACATTCACTCAAGGGGATTTTAGTTATGAATATGAAAGTTACTACTACCCTAGCGTGTCTATGTCACATCTTGGAGGACAAGGCTATTCAAGCGATAAAGCGATTCAAGGGAGAATAGGTGGTGGAGAAGATCCTATGTTGTCTCCTGTAGAGGAGCCAGGTGATGAATATGTAGATGCAATGGATGAACTTCAAAGCTTAGTTCACTCAGTTTCTGAATACCTGGCTGTTAAAGAAGAGGAAATCAAGAGCTTTGAATCACTGCCCAAAACAATAAGAAGAAAACTCCCAGCACTGCCAACCACTGAAGTTGTGCAACCGGTAGACAGTAACAGCAGTGTGCAACCGGCAGACAGTAACAGCAGTTTGCAACCGGCAGACAGTAACAGCAGTGTGCTATCGGCAGACAGTAACAGCAGTGTGCAACCGGCAGACAGTAACAACAGTGTGCAACCGGCAGACAGTAACAGCAGTGTGCAACCGGTAGACAGTAACAGCAGTTTGCAACCGGCAGACAGTAACAACAGTGTGCAACCGGTAGACAGTAACAGCAGTTTGCAACCGGTAGACAGTAACAGCAGTGTGCAACCGGTAGACAGTAACAGCAGTGAAGTCAAACCTGAAGTTAAGGAGGACAGTGCTGTTGAACAGGGCATTGCTGGAGTAAAGAATGCCATGAGTTCATTATTCAGTACAATCACAAGATCAAAGTCCACCACTGAGGTGGAAGCAACGGCCACAACTCAATCCCCCCAACCAGCACAGGCAGACTCTGGTATTTCAAAACTGCTTTCTTTGATCCCTAAAGCTAGTATTGCAGCCACAGAGGCCTCTGGTACAACTACAACAGATCCGCCTACCTCCCAAGCTTCACCCCAACGTGAGTCTGGCTTTTCAAAGCTGCTTTCCTTTATCCCAAAGACTGGTGGTACTTCCCCCCCAGTAGCCATAGTTCCTCCTGCCTCTCAGGAGCCAACAATAGAAAATAAGTTTTCCCTGCAGTCTCTTTTGCCATTTCAATCCTCTGAATCTAGTCGACAAGCTGACACTGGTCAGGCACAAACAAATGTTGGCACAGAGTCACAAGGCAGTGCAACAACTGCTAATCCATCCACATCTGGGTTTGAATCTATGTTAGGGAGGCTTAGTCCTTTGAGACTTTTTGCCAGTGCAACGCCATCTAGCGAGCCATCAACTCAGCCATCTGAGCAAAGAAGTGCAGATGCTACAAGCAATAAATCCCAACAGGGTTCTGTAGTAAGATCCATGAGTGAGAATAGAGAGGGCTCACAAACAGAACGACAGTTATCAAGTGAGATGAGACCAGGTTCAGTAAGTGGATCGGTAGAGCTTTTGCCAGATACAGGAAGAGGATCAATTGAGCTTTCGCAAGAAACGGGAAGCGGATCAGTAGAACTTCTTCCAGAGACAGAGTCATCTGGTGAGCTACCTGATATTCAGCAAAGAAGAACTTCTGCTATGTCTGAACCGAAACTAGAAAGCAGTTCAGACGAAACTGGATTTTTCAGTCCTTTTAAGAAATCTCTCTCTACACTTATGTCAACAGTTCCTTCTGAAAATTCCTCGCAGACTGATTCCAAGCCTCCAGATGAGTCATTTTTAGGTAACAAACTAAGAATTCCCTTTTTCTCATCTGAAAATAGTTCAACAACAACCCCACCAAAAACCGAAGGAGGTATGCTTTCTGGAATTCTTAAGTTTGCATCTGGTGAAGATTCCAATGCCCCTCTAAAAAGTCCATCTCCGAGCCCTACAAGAAGTCGTGCTGCACTTCTTGAAAGTGTACCAAAAGGAAACACAGAAACTGGTTGGTTTTCAAACCTGTTTAAGGTAGCCCCAAATGAAAGTGCTAAGGAACCAGCAACACCACAAATGACTCCTAATGTTGTACTAACAGCACCAACTGGTCAAACTGAGACACATAATCAAGACTTTATCCCTGAAACTACAGAGAGCACTGTCTTAAGAACAGAAGAATTGGAGCAAGAGCAAACATTGTCTGAAAATCATCCCCTGTGCAATACAAATGTTCAGCCTGAAGCAGATATGACATCTAAAGATCATGGTCCCACCAATCTTCTGGAACATTCTGCATCACAACCTCAAGCCTCACAGACTCAAGGTATTCTTACTGGATTACTGAAACTAGGATCAACAGAAGATGTGTCATCTGACAAAAAAGCCCAGGGAGAGGATAATCAGTCTCAACAAGGTGGGCTATTTTCAGGCCTTTTTTCCCAGTCTTCCCCTCAAACACAAAATAATTCTTCCACACAACAATCCGGAGGACTGTTGTCAGGATTTCTAAAATTTGCCTCTGATAATGTTTCTTCTCCTACAAATCAGTCACTCTCGTCATTGCCATTAGGCCAGACTGGCCAAATTCCAACACAAAGGCAAGGGCAACCTGCTGCTGACCTGCCACCTAGTGGAGGTCTCTTATCTGGGCTCTTTAAAAAAGCCACAGACACATTGTCTGGGTCTGAACCAACTCAATCTAGTGAAGAGTCCAAACCAGATACAACTAATCATATAGCCAAAACAGAAGGACCTGATCATAACATGAGTAAAGGTTCCACTCCTCTTATTCAGTCAGCAGGTTCAACAGAAGCACCCCCTCCTGACAAAGGTCTACCTGGCAAGCAAGTAGAACAGTCCGTAGTCTCAGAAAAACAGCCAAACCAACAGCAGCAGTCCGACCAAACAACAGAAAAACTACCTCCAAAAGCAACAGCAACTCAACCTGGTGGATTGCTTGGGGGGTTGTTGAAACTCACAGAAACCGCTTCCCAAACAGCAACAGCACCTCTGTCTACACAACCTACACAACAAAATCAGCAATCAGGTAGCATGCTGTCAGGACTTTTTAACAAGATTGTGGATCCTAATCCTACTCCATCTCAGCTACAGTCACATACTGTAAGTCAAGAAGTTAACCAAAGACCGACACAGCAAGCACCTCCTCAACAAGGAGGCTTCTTTTCTGGGCTTTTTGGAATGGGGGGCCAAGACTCTGCTCCTGCAAACCCGGGACAGCCCTCACAAAACCGGCAACAGGACGCCTCATCAGGGCACCAACATAATCAGCAACCGGGCAATAGACAAAACCTACAACAGCAAAACCAAGTCCCTCCACAACAGCCCCCAAGTAGTCCTGGAGGGATGCTTACTGGATTATTTAACAAAATTGCAGATGCTGGCACCCAACAGTCAACAGTGGTAAGTCAACCAGAGCAGCCAAACACACAAAGAGCAGGCCCTAAGATGACCCAACAACCATCGAATCAACAGGGAGGCTTGTTCTCTGGGCTATTTTCATCAGGTCCTACTCCTGTAGTACAACAGACACCACCTGTTGGTAATCCCAACCAGCAGCAATCCCAACAAGGTAAAAAACAGCCTCTTCGAAGGCAAAACCAGATACCCCCTCAACCTGCTGCCCCTGCACCAGAGCCACAGCAAGGTGGGCTATTGTCAGGACTGTTTAATAAGTTAGCATCAACAGATAATGCACCACAACAGCCTACCTTACAGACTGGCTCTCAACAGGTAAATAAATCAGACACTGTTGGACCTGCTCAATCTGCAGGTCAGTCGTCTCAATCCAGTCAGCAAGGAGGATTTTTGTCTGGTCTGTTTGGTCAGACATCACCTCAGCAGCAACAACCTGGCAACATTGCAAATCCTCAACATAAAACTACACAACAGGCTAGTCAAGGTGGAGGGTTGCTTTCAGGTTTTCTGAAGCTTGCGGCTGGTGAAAATGTACCACAGGACCAACAGTCGGCTCAACCTGCTCAAGCAGATCAACTACCTGT